TGTGTGTGTGTTTATTTTGGTGCGGTGCTCAGTGCAAAGTTAAGGATGTACATTGCTTTCTAAGCTGAATTCTCTCTCTGGTGCTGGCTCTGTAGACCTCGCTGACTGACAGACAGACAGACAAACACAACTGGTTCTTTAGCTTTTAAATCTCTCAGGGCACAGCAGCCAAAAAACAGGAACCAATAACTGCCGCAGTACAGCAGCCTTTTGAAGTGCTCCTTGACGGGGGATGCAGTGCGCGAGCGTGTGCGAGAGAAAAAGACAAGAAAGAACGATAACAGAAATGAGGAGTGAGGTAAAGGAGACAGAACTGGCTTGAAGGTGAGGGGGTCTGTGGTTGTAACGTGAAGGTCAGCAGTTTGGACTCCCCGCTGAGTTTATAACGATAGGGGAAATAAATAAATGAAACTTTTCTCGCTCTCAATCGCTGCCGTTAATGTTCCATTAAACAGGGTACTTAGCCCCCGACTGCTCTAATTGAACAGCTCGGTGGCCAAAAGTACAAGAGAGCGGTCATTTCTGGCAGCTCCCAGGTGTAAAAGTGAGTGTGTATGGCCTGTAACTAACCAGCTCCTCCACAACAGCTCCTGCAGGGTTTACCTGTAAATAACAAAGACTCCATGCCTGGTTTAAATTGGGGCAAAACCATCCCACTAGCAGGCAGGTATGGAAGAACAGTGAATCAGCAGATCATCGAAAATTCTCAGACATGCGGTTGCTCGAGTTCACATCTACCTTGTCAGATCAGAAATGTAGGGAAAGGACACGAGAGGGCACAAGTGAACTTCCTTGTGCATGTTAAAGATTCCTGTAGACACGATTGGGACTATAGGTTTTCATTAGCTATTGATATATCGTCAACAACTCACTTCAGTATTGCTGTCATTGCACAGACATGAGCTTTACTGACTCACCGACTCGTACGCCCTCCAGAGTGAATACACTTGTTATATTGACAGTGGAGGTAAACAGTGAACCAGCAGCCTGCGCTCACTACAGATGAATAACGACCAGAGTTGCCACCATAGCTAGGATTATGCACTTGAATTGGAAGGACTCAGGTGACTGTAATCTGCAGTCCACTGACATGTAGTCGTGATATTTTACACACTGTACCTTTAACAAGAGATGCGTATATTTTAAAGGGGAGACATGATCACCTCTTTGAGATAAGAGGTTTTTTACTGCATATTTGCAGATAAGGCGAGCCACATAAAAACTGCTACAATGCACATGGCATGATAATAACAAGATGTGGCGGCTAGTCATAGATAACTATTATTTTCTTTGGGAGGCAGATATGCTATGTAAAAAGGCCTCTTTACACATTTGTGAATGGATACTGTTACCGTTCAGAATCTTAATAAATAGATACAAATACATAAATTCAACAAAAATATTACATTTAAGAAACAATCAAAAGTTTGGTATTTTTATTTGATTAGGTGTAAAATATAGCTGGCATTTATTTGTTTATTAACCGATTGATTCTTTTGATAATATTTCTGAGCGTCAGATATACTGGTGTGCTACAGCATTTGCTGATGGCGCCTATTAAAAATAATTACAGAGGTGCCGAGGACTCTCAGTGAGGCTGACACATGCTTTGCACTTGATGCTCCCTCTGTGATCTTGACAGCTTCACAATAACCCCCTTCAGCACTTTTTTTTCAGCTCTATTAGCTCCCATTAATCTCACAACATCAGACACATTTAAGCAGGAATGGTCTGAAGACTTTGAAAAATAAAAACAAATCAATTCCAGCAAACATGATTTGCTGTGGAGGAAGAAAAAAAAAAAGTCTGGCTATGTGAAACATCTCTTGGCAGTGTGACCACTGCTTTCATACCTGCTGTCAGTGGTGTAGCGATAATCTGGAGGATCGAAATAAATCCCAGTGGGCTGGTAACAATTCAGCTTGATTACTGTGGACTAACAAACAATATTATGCTTTTTTGCAGCTTGAGCGAGTCGTGTGCTCTCTGTCACCACGTATACATACACTTCACTCTGTTAGTGTGCCAATCAAGTTTGTACTAGAGGAGTGGAAAAATGAGCGGATCCTCCTGTGGTACCTTGGGTATGTTAGCTGGCCACAGTATCAGTTCAGACAGCATGCTTTAGATGGAGAGCAAAAACAGAAGGAAGAGGATGATGCCAAGAAAATACAGAAGAAGAAAAAACTTGTGCTCTAAAATAATGGATATACATAGAGGTGGGCAGTGCAAGTGTGAAATCCTTGGTGTTAAAGCAGTGTTAAGCTGCCAGAATGCCAACTTAACTGTCATGATTGTGTCACATTTCAAGTAAAGGCTTTCTCCAGTTGTCACTTTTATTAGCTATAAACAGGGATGGGCACTGCAGCGATCCATATAAACTGATAAAGAACCAGGGTGAGGTGACTTAAGGCAATGACTCTCTATTTAAAAAATAATAATAATAAAAGTGTTAAAACGAGGATTTATATA